TAAGAGTCCCCGCTCCGGAATCGAACGGATTGCCTGCTCTGTCGCTTTTATTCATTCAGTGAAAATGCTGAGGGCCCGCTATGTGCCTGTTCTACGGGCTGCGGATACATCAGGGTACAAAACAATCCGAGGTCCCCGACCTTGTGGAGCTGTATTTGAGCAGGGAAGGCCGGCAGCAACCACAAACTTGATCAATTTCGGGAACGTTAGGTAGAAAGGCTAAGTGCTAGGCAGGGGGAAAAAAGACGGAAGGATCCCCCGGGGTTGACTAGCTGTGTGACTTTGGACAGGTGTCCGAGCCTTTCTGTTCTTGCTTCCTCGCAATAAAATGAAGATCATCGTAGCACCTGCTCACAGGCCATCGGGAAGATGCCCGGGAACCCCAGGGGCGCCTCGCACTTACTAGGCACTCAGCAAACTCACTGATCGTCTCACTTGCCGTCGCCCGCATCCCGCTGCCCACACTCAGCCGGCCGCCCAGCGCCGCGAGCCCGCAGAGGCGCGAACCCACCACCCCCGCCCTCCCCTGCAGCCCGTGTCCGCTCCGCCTCCCGGCCCTCGCCTCCCACAACCCGACAGTCGGGGCGGAGAACAACCACCGGTGGGACCTCGCACCGCCCCCGGGTCAGCGGACCACTTCCGCTCCCGTCGCCGCGCAGCCCGAGGTCGGAGCGAGGCGCACGCGCACGAGCCACTGGGTGGGGGGGGCGGTCCCCACTGTCAATGGGCAAGATGGCGCGTGTCGCGGACAGTGATTCGGCCGGGGTTCGTCCGAGGCGCGAAGCAGTGACCAGAGCGTGCGAATATTTCCCGCGACGAGTCGCACATCACGGCGGCGCGCTGGGGGGTGGGGGGGGTGAGGGCGGGGGCGGGACGGAAATGGCGTCTCCGGGCGGCTAGGCGCGCGCGGAGGGTCTCAGCGGCTCCGGTTCCACCGCCTCCGAGGCCGAGGCGCTCTCTCCCGCGCCGTTCTGCTGCGCACCCTCCGTCCCGCAAAGCCACGCTCTCCGCTCCCTTCAGCTCGTCGCAATAAGAAACGGTAGCGGCGCCTGCTGCGGTCCTCAGCGGCACATGGGCGCGGCCATCTTGGGGGCGGGGCCGTTCCCTGGGACCCGTGCCCTTCCCAGGCCCAGGGGTCAGAGAGCAGCGGTCCGGCCCAGGCGGGGGAAGTGGCCCCGAGGAGGGTCTGGTAGCCGGGCTGGAGGGCCGGTCACACCCACAGACGAGGAAAGCCCGATGCCTCATTCTCCTGAAATAAATCGGGTTGCTCCCGTTTCGGGGACCCCGGGCGTCCTGGGAGAGTGGTTTTGCTTTCTGACGACACTGCCTAGAGAACGAGAGAATCTTGGGTCTCTGACAGCGGCAGCCCCTGGTAGCTTGGCCTGCTAAAAAAGCCTGCAAGTGCCCTTGAGGAACGTGTGTGTTTCCGTAGGGTCTGGGAAAAAGAGGCCAAGTGTGTGCTGCCCTTGTAGCTGCCTGGTCACCAAGCAGAACCCTTCGGGCGGTGCGGGGTCGGCTCTCAGCTCAGACGCACCCAATTCCTTCTGAGCTAGAGCCAGCAGGTGCCACGCACTGTGAGAGAAGCCTGTGACAAAAACCCTCCTGCAGTCCACCATACACGTGTGGAGGCTTCCATTTGGAACATACTGCTCTCTCCCTCTCTTTCCCTTTCCCCCTGTGAGTTAACTAACATTCCCCGGGTGGTTTGGATGATTCGTAGCCCAGATCTCCGGCGCAGAGTTCTGGGAAGTGACTGTCCAAGCCTTGAGTAGGAGTCCCGGGAGAAGAGCCCGTTCTCCCTCAGGCGTGTGAGTGGGTACTGCTCCCCACTGCGAATGCATTCTTCGTGCGTTTGTAAGTGATGGCCCGGCTTGGAGATGCTACCTGTTCGTTTCTAGAGGAGAGGTGACCTGCTAACCTTCTTTTCGGAGATCACTATCAGGAGGCAGGAGGAGGTTAGTAGAGTTAGTCTGCTAGTGTCCCAGGGACGATTGAGAAACCCCCAGTTGCAGAAATACCTGGTCTTCGGCCCTGGTGGGACTCTCCCCAGATCCTGCCTGATAAGACAGGGACAGGTGCTTGCCGAGAAGGAGAAGACCTGACGGTTTGGGTGGGGCCCGGGGAAGGACGCAGATTTGTTAGTCATACAACGCCAGCATTTCTAGTGTGACTTGGTCGTTTCGGAACCGAGAAACATGCGAGGTGTTCTTCCAGTCCATCCTCTGCCCGGGCTGTTCGGATGTATCAGTCCATAGGGGAGAAGGCTTGTCCCCACCACTCTCTGGCCCCTTGGGTCATAGCTGAAGACCACCTGCCTAAAGGGCTGTTGTGACTGATGTAGGGTGCATCTTAGAGCCCCCAGGGTTTAGAGAGCCCAGGGCAGGCTCCCGGTCTGGGGTGGCGGTTCACGTTGTTTTCTCATACACACTCGGGAACGTGCCCGGGCCGTTGCTGTACCTCCCCATAGTGTGGGCTCCCCCTTTGCCGCCTCCTTGCACGATTGTGCCCGTGCCCGGTTCCAACCTCACCCAGGATTACCGCTCATACTCAACTGAAAACATTTTTTCCGTCGGCCACTAAGCCTTCTAATTAAGTGAAAACGAATTGTAAAGGGTAAACCTAGGAGGCCTGGATTGCTCAAGGCCCGTCCATGCCCCCGAAAATCCCGTTTCAGGAGGACTGGTCCTTGTCTGGCTCCTGGGAGACCACCACTAAGCCCCTGTCACATTCTGCCTGGTGGGAGGGTTTTTGTGTTCCAAGCGTCGCTGTTCCAAGTTGGCCCGGTGGTTTATGCAAACAGTGTGACTTAGGTGAACATCTGGTTCTGTCTGTGTGCGGCCTCGGGCCGTGCTGTATCAGTTTGACATCTGGAGGGCTGTGGCCTGAGTAGCTAAAGTCCTCACAGGGATGCTGCATGCTCGCAGAACCTCCAAGAAAACCCCTGGCCCCTAGGCCTGGGTGAGCTTCCCTGGCTCGCCGCGCGTCGCAGGTTTTGGCGCACAGCAGTCCTGGCCGACTGAAGCGTTGACCGCGGGACTCCTTTGGGAGGAAACGAGTGCCGTGGCGTGCCTGGTTGCTACGGGGCCTCCCCCCTGCCCCTTTTCCCTTTACTGCTTCCACTCTGCACGCTCGCCCTGCAAGAAGTCCTAGCCGCGTATCAGAGCGCTCAGAAGGCCTCCCGGGACTCAGAAGTAGAAGCGCTCTTCTGAGGCACGAGTCCTAGGGAATCCTCAAGCCTGCGGGTGGTCTTGGAGACCCGCGTTGCTGCACATGCTCAGATGGGTACCCGCTCCACCGTGTGTTTGGGCCATCCCGGGAGGTGGACCTTCTGAACCCAGTTCGACTGTGCCCTCGGCAATAGGCGGGTCGCAGCCCCGAGCAGCGGCATCCGGAGGGCGCGGCTGTGCTTTTCCATCGCTGAGAAACAGAGGTCCTGGGTGCGTGCCCTGCCTGAGCAGGAGCTGCGCGAGCTTGCTTTCTTGCAGTTGTGAATTATACTTTTATGGTTACCCTAGAGATTATGGCATACACCACTGATTTATTAGTCTCTTGTCAGTGAATTCTTCTTCCTTCA